CAGACTGTATTCTTCAACCTTCATCAGTAGGTGCCTTAAGTCATCCTCACTTTCAGCAAGCAAAGTTGTATCGTCTGCATATCTCAGGTTGTTCATGATTCTTCCTCCAATCCTGATACCATGTTTTTCTTCATATAGTCCAGCTTCTCGGATTATTTGCTCAGCATATAGATTTGTTCTTGTATTGTCTTTTGAAATTGTTGTGGGATTTTCTCTGTGTTTTCCTTGATCTGTCTCTCAATTCGTTGAAGATACTTAAATATAATTCTTTTGAATTCCTTATCAGGGAGTTCCAATGCTGTGTCTTCCTCAGGGATGTGTTTTGGGTCCATATCCTGGTCCCTTTTTTCTCCTGCTTTATCTTGCTTCTTTGTGTGGACTGTGATGCTCTTTTGTCTCTGAGGCATTGTGACATTTTTGTGTTTATATTTAATTGATGATTGTATGTTGGAGTGACTTGCACACAATTTTTGTTTTCTTTGTTTTGTTTGTATATTATCTATGCAAGCAGGGTATTGTGCTGTGCTCTTCTATTTGCTAGTGGGCAGCATTTATACACTCACCACCTGTCACCTTTCCTGTTGTCAGCCTCATATGTCCCTGCCGACCTTGGCAAACAGCTTATTCTTAGGTCCCTGGAATCCGAATGGGGATGCTATCACTTTAAAATCCAAAATGGTTGCCACTTGTAAAGATTCAAAGTGGCTGCAGCCTCGATCACTTTAAATATCCAAAATGGCCTCCACTTGTAAACATTCAAAATGGCTGCACCCTTGGTCACTTTAAATATCCAAAATGGCTGCTACGTGTAAACAATCAAAATGGCTGTGCTCTCCAGACAGCGGAAAGTCAACAGCTCAGGTTGTCTCCCACCTTGCTGTTTCCCTCCTAGTCATAGGCCACCAGTGCAGTCATCCCTGCAGCCCTTGGTGACCAGGGTTGATGTTTTTTAGGTCAACTCTCAGGTCCCAACACCACTTGGAACTATTCAGGTTGTTGGTCCCAACAGAGTAGCTGGTAGTCCGCAGCTCTGACCATCTCTGTACTCACTGTTTTTGTTCAGGTTTTTCCACTAGTTGGTGCCTGATCCACTTCTGTATAGTTCCTTTAAAAGCTTAGGGCTCTAGGATTATCTTCTATATCTCTGTCAATTGGTTTCTCTTTTCTTTGTTGAAGAGGGTTGGTGTAGCTTGTGTGCCTATTCCACCATCTTACCGGAAGTCTCTGTTGTAAATATTAACCTCTAACCCTGTGGTTATAATCCCATTTGGGAATAAACTGTCTGTGCTATGTTAATGAGGTAGGGTATATCTTGAGTCAATCTCTTCTGATATACAAAGAGATTAAAGAAAAAAACTAGACAGCAGAGACACAGGAAGAGAGATGTCAAGCCACGTGAAGAACCCTCAGGAGCAGAAGCTCAAAAGAGACTAGGACCTTCCTCCAGAGTCGACAGAGAGAGAAAGCCTTCCCATAGTCAGCACCCTGAATTTAGACTTCTAGCATCCTAATCTGTGAGAAAATAAGCTTCTGTTTGTTAAAGCCACTCATTTGTGGTATTTCTGTTATAAACTAAAAAACAAACCCAACCCTCTGCCATAGAGTTAATTCTAATTCATAGCGACCCCCATTTGGGTTTCCAAGGTGGTAAATCTTTACGGAAGTAGATTGCCCCATCTTTCTTCCACAGAGTGGCTGGTGGGTTTGAACTGCCAACCTTCTGGTTAGCAGTCAAATGCCTTAGGCACTGCATCACCAGAGCTCCTTATTTCTGTTATGT